ATCAGTTATTTTAATTGATTTGGTCGAGAATGTTTATGTTAGAATATGATAATCTATGGATCAGAATTATTCATTACTGTGCTTTATTCACGAAGGAATACATTAGCTATATAGTTAGATGGTGATGAGAATTATTCACTACTCGTTTAAAAGTGATAATATTTATTCCTTTCCCCCCCCAAAAAAAACACTTTGCCTGTGCTTAGTTCGAGAACAGATTTGAAAAATTCATTTAATTAAATAATATTCAATGCCAAAATGTCTTCGAAGAATAATTATGTAATTCATACATTTTTAAAATATAGAACAGATTAACTAAGACTAGTGAAGTTGAACACAGAAAACTAAACATCCCTTCCTTAACATGTGGTACGGAGAGACTATAATTTGTAGACGAACCAATCAGATACAAGATTATAGGTCTCAGATTTCGGCTCAAAATTCACTCATTCATTTGGTTAAATAAAATTTTGGCATTATGATTGATGTCAGTTTGTGATGAAAAACCTAAATCATAATTCTTAACCTTAACCATCAACAGTAAATCATAATTCTAATCCTCCACAATATTTCATAACCCTCATTTGATCCTAGTTACTAGGTAGAAACTCTCAAGGTCACTTTGATGTCGCTTAAAGGTCGTCTATAAATTATAATCTCACTGATATGAATGTTGAAGTGAAAACTACCGCTGAAATATTGATCATTGATCATGGAAACAGAACGAATGATGATAAGTTGTAAGGATTAAAGAATAATAATAATAATAATAAAACAACTAAAGAATACTAATACATTTGAAATCTACCAAAGATATCAATTAACGCGGTTAATATTTTCTATAATACCCCCCCCCAAAAAAACACTCAATCTATTCAATAAAACGATGTTTTTAGAAATAATTAAAGAATCATTAATATATTAAAACAGTAGTATAGGTAGAGATATTTCACCTTGATTGAACACCATTATTGATAATATATTGTGTTATATATTGAATATAAGAATAGAAAATCTTAATCAACTTAATTCATTGAATAAGTGTAATTGTTTATAAAACATAGTGACAGAATTATATTCATTGTTTACCTGTGGTTTGTAACGAATAAGCACTGAAGATGTCTAATTTATTAAAGTGAATATATAGGTTTATTATTATTATGATTTATGAGGAGTGAAGATTTATTTGTTGACACATAATAAAAGGAAAAAAAACGCAGTAGAAACAAACTCGTCGAGTTCTAGTGCTAAACTGTGATCAATGAAGTTTAACTGGGTCTGTTGTGAGATAGTAACTCACTAATGACAATGGTGAATGTATCGCTCAACTTTGTGGATAGTAACACTGTTGGATGCCAACGGTTCAATGGTTTAAAGGTTAAACGCTCTTTCTTGAGACTGATAGATCCTGGATTCGGATCTGGCGAGGTGGAATCGTGGATACGTATTTCTGAAGAGTCTCATGTTAGGACTAAGGGGTCATCCAATGCTTCCAGTTTTTCTATGATGGTCTAGCTTCAATGAAGTCATGAATTCAACACAAAACCCCTCTTTGATTACAAAAAAAGATTTGTTGAAGATTATTTAAATTTATAGTGAATACCTTCTGGTATTCACTATGGATTGAATTTATTTGAGATACAATGAACAATTATGTAGTATTAGATAACGCTAGTTTGTTTAGACATGAAACTTTTAAACAATGAAGGCACCTACTAAAAGGAAAGAATTCAGAACATTTAAGTGTCAATGATATTCTAATGGAACTTAATCTGTATTGAATACCTTTTACAAATTATAAGCAAATGAATAACATTGTTTTACATGTATGTATGTATGTATGCTTGCTCTAGTAAGTTACTGTCACGTTGATTAACACTTTCCAACTTTAGTTCTTAAACAGTTCAATACGATTATTAGTCGGTATCATCGATAATATCTTTTATACACTCCTGATATAGTGTACTAAACAAATGACAAAAGTTAAATAGTATAGACAATTAGTGAGTTTAAAATGTATTTGTAGCTTGATCTAAATGGTTTGAGGTCAATCATATGTTAGGTTGTATCTGTATATTGCTGTCTACAACAGTAAAGATGAAATAACTTCACTATACTATTCAGTTTTAAATGTTTCTCTAGTTAATTTCATTCTGTGATGAAATATTCTCCTAAAATGATTGATATCTCATAAAGAGTATAAAATAAAAGATTTGAAATGTTTAACATTTGTTTTTCTACACTAAACAATTTATCAATAATATATAAAATATATTTGAATTTCAGTTAGGATTTCATATAGTTCGCTTAATGCGAACACTTTAATATTCGCTTATTGGACTAGAATAATATTCTGTAAAATACATTCCGAACTTCACTTGGAGCGCCTCTAAGGCTACTGTCGGTTCCAAACCTGAATGAAAGAGGACAGCTGAAAATGGGATTAGAAACACCGTTTGGTAGAAGATAATCTTGCTAAAGAAGGCTTACCACAAGATAAAACCATGTGAACGATTCAAACCCTGACGTGGGAGTTGAATGATATTCATATTAGATGAGTTATGACACCTCATGGATAAAACCGGTATTTAGCAGATATCACAAGGCTAATACCTGTTTTGACAATCAGATCAACAATTAATATAGGTACATAGAATGTCCGTATAATATGAAAGGCCAAAATGGCCAATTAAGTAGCTGTGGAAATTAGAGGATACAAATTGGTGGTACTGGGAATAAGTAAAACCTATTGGATACAAGCTGGGTAGAAATCATTAGATTTGAAAGAGGTGCTGTCGTACTCTGGTCATGAAGACGAAAATATTTCGCATAAACAAAGAGCTACACTGATGCTGTCCAAAGAGGCACGAACAGAAGTTGTGAGATGAGAAGCTCATGGATCCAGAATCATCAAAGCATCCTTCTAAACAAAGAAGGATAAGATTACAGGGAACTCCATCCAGTCTTATGCTCTCACCAATGATAGCAACGAAGACGACAAAGATCAGTTTTATGAGAATTGAACCCATCGGATATCGAAGCCATACACACAGAACTTCCAGTACATATTACACCATCAACGATCTAAGTAATCAAAATGGCTATCAGAAAAATCAAGATTGGGAAAGCAGCAGGATCTGACAGTGTACCAGTGAAGCATTAATGTTCGGCACAGAAAACACCAACTAGATCGCACTTGGTGGAAAAGCTCTGGGAGTGGTAGAGAAGTTTATGCACACCGGCAGCATCATCGATGAACAAGGAGGTTCTAATGCAGATGTAAAGGTATGGATTGGGATGGCAAGGACTGTTAGCTAAAATCAAAGCTGGAGTCTTCGATACGAATATCAAGACAGTTTCTACTGTACAAAGCTGAAACTTGGGGAACTACTACAACCATCATCGAAAATGTATAAGTATTTCCAAACAATTGTCAACGCAAGATATATACTGTACCGCCGGATACCATCAACAACAACCTACTGTGGAAAAGAACAAACCAGCTTCCAGTGGAGGAGGAAATTATGAAAAAACGTTGTAAGCGGATAGAACATACATTACGGAAATCATCGAACTGAATCACAAGACAAGCGCTAACTTGGAATGCTGAAGGGATACGGAAAAGAGGAAGGCCAATGAACATATTACTTTGAGAATTGGAAGCACGCATGAAAATGATGAATAGCAACTGGGAAGAATTGAAAAAGAATGCCCAAGACGGAGTTGGATAAAGAATGCTGGTGGTCGCCCTATGTTCTCTGACGAGTGGTAATAGGCATTGAAAGTTTATTTGATATAATTGGTATACATTAAACAAATGAGAGCTTGACTATTATCTAATGAGAAGAAATTATTATTCAGATAAACTAAACGTTAAGCAATATCTTCGTTCTAATGAATAAATTATTTTTTATTCGTATATGCAGTATCAAATGGATGAATGACTAGTGAGATTGTTACAAATTTCATGCATATAGATACATAGAGAACAAAATGTGGAATTGAAGAAATGTAAGATATCAAAGTGTTAAACAATGCCGGATGAAAATAAAAATTGAAACATCGAGAGACTATCAGCTTTTTTATCATTTTGCAATTGTCCTACTTATAAAAGACTAAACGCTATCTATAAAAAAGCCAACAATTCTTCGTAAGGCGATCTAGGGAAAGCTGCTTCTTACAAGGTGCAACAGAATTACATCTGTACATTAGGTTGTATCAGTATTCGGGTGCTTTGTTAATATTGAAGAATGTTCTCAGAACCTCTTTGCTTGTATCAAGAAACACTTAATCCACATGAATTTATCTGCTAATAATTTGACTGAACTGGAAAAAAACTGCGAATCAAATCGGGGATATAAGCACATGTTATTCTCAACAACTACCAGATCAATATTGAAAATATCGAAATATTACACAAAATCTTTTCCAATCATAAACAAAAACATGTCACTGAAGTGTTCCATAGAAATGCTAAATCCCTTAAACCTTAAAAGAAACAGAAGCCTGACTACCGATACATATTTTGCATGTTCGTCTATACTATTTATACTTGCGTTAGTACACATAGCTTTAAAATCACTAATCGATCTAAGTTAGAATGCAATTGAAAACCTGGAATCACTGAATGGCTGTTTCATCATCAACAGTAGAAGTAGACTTCTACTTGAATTTTGTGCTGATTATGTCGTTTAGAAGACCGATAAAAGCTCAACGACCAAACCATCCAGTTTAGAGAACAAAACTCTATCAAACTCAACAGTGCTCACCTACAACCCTGTATCTGTGAATCGAATCCAAGACTCTTGATCTCACAAGCAAACGCTTAAACTTCCTGTTTGTTCACACTATTTAAACCGATACTAATTCAATCCGGTCATTAATTTATTTACTCTGAAAATGTAGCTTACATCAAGTCACGAAACGTCAACACATTCTAATCTCTACTTATCGAAATATCAAAAAAAAACTTGACCGTTATATTTTTCTAATGAAAATACCTGATTGTTTGGTGTTAGTTTGTAATCTGCTATAAATAATTGATCACGTGTCTCTGTGCCCGGTGTTCGATTAGATTTTTCTAACAGAGTCGATCTCTGTGGAAAAGAGAATAAAAAAAGAAATGAGCAAACAATATTTAGTTTATTTTACCAAAAGTTCGTAGTGATATGGTTTGTTTACGTAATAATACCAAGAGGGGGGTACATTTGAGTAATTTCTGCCAACTTTAAATGTTATACTATGTATAAGTCTTATGTTGTATGTTAATGGATTGATCTTGAATAATACGATCTATTCGAGTAATAGTGAAGATAATTGTTTCCACTATCATGTATATATAATGTTTAAATAATATAAGTAGGTAGGTCGGGGCCTATTGTCGTTAATAATTACTTGTTTGATTATAATAAAACGTAGATCAGTTGAGTTCGACCAAAATTTGACTTAAGTGGCTGATTATTATTAGTCTTGTGACAATAAGTTTGGCTTAAAATACCGAATAAAAACATCAATTCTTTGTTAAAACGTGTTAACACAATAAAAACTATTCCCAATGTTATTCGATCTACGAGATGAACGAAAATAAATATAACATTACAATCAATAAGACAAATCGATTATTCTACTGGTGTCTTAAGTGACTGTACCAATCATGATGGTTGTATAAGGTGGAGCTAATCTATGTCGGGTGTGAGACATCAACCAAAAAAAATCAATGATAGTGGCGTGATGTCTTGAATTGATTGTGGTTAGATGCCAACACCATTGGACACCGGCTCAGTGTTCTAGATATCAGGCGTTGCTGTGCGAGACCCGAGGTCCTGGGCTCAAGTCCCGTGTGCGAGGCTGTGGGTACGTACTCTTCAAGAGTCCATGCTAGGATAAAACAGACGTCCAGTTCTTCCAAATTCGTAATGGTGGTCTGACAAATATTTCAATGATATTCTCTTTTGTTCAGAGTTATTGTGATTTTACTTGACTCGTATTTCACTTTTTTCTACTCTAAAGCCATAGTTAGGATGAAATTGTATTTTCCTCATTCCTTGTACGTTGTAGTTTTGTTAGTTATATATCTATTGATGTACCTATTTTGAGTTGTTCAAATCAGGAGTAAGTCGGATGTACTGTTTCAAATAAATTATCTTCCCTTTCGGCTTCCCAACTAATCAGGTCAGCAGTGGGATAGTTTCTTCTCTCTGACCTCAAGGTAGTTCATTCACAAAATTGGAATTGACGTGGTACAAGTCTAATGGTTGTAATATGTCAGCTATTACGTCAACGATGAACACAACATCAAAACATACTAGTGAGTAGACAAAACAATGATATAACACATTTGATGATATTTTCTAGAATGCAAATAAAAACTCCACAATCAAATTAACTTTCTTAGAAAAGCTAATAAAACCGCAATAAATAAACAATAACGATACATATCGAAACAATCGTTTGTCATTTAATATAAACAAACTCAAGGTTATTTTTAACAATACTTACTTGTAATGAATGAAGACTAGTTACTTGTCGTTCTGGCGAAACACTTAATTCTCTTTTGCAATTCGGTGATTGATATTGATTGTTTACCTATACAAATAAAACATAAAGTAGATGTATGTAGTTTGTATTTTTCACAGTTTAATCTTAATTGAGGTGTCATTTGAAACTTTTATTGATAAAGTTAATAACTGTCTTGTCCTTCTTACCAATGAGCATCTATAATAGTATTAAGAGGACAGAAAGTGAATGTTTAGCTCTTTAACCAGGCTGGTGAACACGGATAGTCTACCTAGAAAAGTTGAAAATCTCTGATTCCAAACCAATGGTGCACATGAACTTCGGTATCCTGAAGGAACAAACGACATATGAACCTATTGTTGGTCACCGGTTAACATGAAACTGCATCTCCTTACGATGCTCCATAACCTTGTGGATCAGACCTATAGGTCGAAAGCTCTGGGTGTGGTACCGTAAGAAAACCACCTGCTTTGGGTAGTATCCTAGCTCTCACATAAATCGAATGACTTATGTGGCACATATCTATTTGATACCTCCTTGTACCAATGTTTATGTGTTTAAATAAATAAATAATAATAATAATAAACAGTCAAATAAAAATATTCATAGTGACATGATTTTTCATTCAGATCAAGAATCGATTGATGTTAGATCAAGATTGAAAACATGATTTACCCTATGAATATACATCCTACAAACTATGTTCCATTATTTTATATTCACTAACCTTAGTACAATGTATTTGTTCTGTATTTGGTTCTGTTTTTTGAATTATAGGTGAATAATTATTTCCTGCTGTAGTTTTTAATTGTTGTTTAATAACAATATGATCTTGTGCAGTATGTATTTGTTTTGGTGGATTGGTTTTATGTCGTTTTAATTTTGGAAATTTTAGTGGCCAATTATATACTTCACTACATTTATATCGTTCTGTAATAATTTTTGGTTTACGCGGTTTTAATGTACCACCATTATTATAATGATGATCAAATTCATTATATGATAAAGTTGCTGCTTGATATGTTGGTTGATAAACACGAGGTCTTGTTGGATAATCTGTATACTAAATAGATTAGAAAAATAAATATACAATGATTATGTAAACATAAATAACATGAATCAAAAGGTGTTTTGTAGAGATTTTAGTAATTTCAATGGTTGAGATCATGAGTCAATTAAAGCTAAACAACCATGAAAAACCTGGAAGCACTGGATGATTGTTTCGTTTTATCGTTGAACTACTCAACAGTGCGCATTAACGACCACGCCCCGCGGGATTCGAACCCAGGATATATCAGTCTCGCGCGCGTGCGCTTAACCAATAGACTACTGGACCGGTCAACATCCAGCGGTGTTATTGTCTAATTAATATGAAATTGTTAAATAATCACTTTGTTTATCTAATCATACTTAGATTTAAAAGATTATTGATCGTTCATTTATCTTCTACAGTTCAATGCATTTATGATATTTCCTTCCTATTTTATATTAAACTTATTCAGTAAATAAAAGAACTGATATTCAGTAGGAACTCTTAACTGACAGTTCGAATAACAACTGTTTTTCTGGCCAAGATAAGAGCATATGGACTGTGACCTTCAGTACGTGTACAATCGATCTGTTTTGTTATTCTGCACCAACCATGTAAGCTTAAAATGGAATTAGAGCATAGATATTTGATATTTTCTTTATAATCAATTAATCTATTATATTTCATTACTGAAAAGTATATCTTTCATTTGGCGTTCAGTTGTACACATTGAAGGCAAGAAACATTAGAGTTGAGCAATAAAATATTTGTGAAGTTTTATATTTTTAAGTGTAAAAAACTGAAATGTTTGCAAAAGTTGTTGTCATTATGAAGGGAACTAACTGTATTTTAGAGAAACATTGTATGATGTAAGTTTGAATCCTGTTGAACCATCTTATTCTCTCAAGATAACTAATACAAGTTCGAAACTATTACGAGATCTAAATCAACCAGTGCTTTCTATGTATTTCTTTTGACTAACTGATATATTATTGATTAAATCATGACAGAAGCCAACACTGAGATCCAGAAATCATATTTCATCTTATTTATGACTTGTTGACCGGATGTATTTACATACTACTTATATATGAAATACAAACCATAATAAATATATTTGATATACTATTTGGTATAGAACTAAGTATCTTAGTTTATTCATATAGAGTAAAAATTATGACAAAAACACAATTGTTCTCTTTACAGATAATCCAAAATTTGTTCGATTTCAAGATGGTCATAACTATTGTTACCATTTTAACAATTAATCATTTCATTTTTGTATTGTTTATTTGTAGCTTCTCATTAATGTTAAAGATTGTAATTGATCAGTTTCTCTTATTGGCATATGTGTATCCTGTGCGCATTGCTTCGATATTACCATTAAATTACAAGCATTATAAACATAAATGGATAGTGGCTGACAGTGAATATCAAGACGCGCGTCTCATCCTATTTTAGACTTATCAGATAGATGTGCCTACATCCTAGAGTTCAAGTCTTATAGTCAACAACAATCCCGAGATGTAGGTATATCCAGTTGACGAGTCTCAAAATAGGATGAAACGCAAGTCCTAGATTCCGTTGCTACTCACCATCCATCTTTGTTTTTTAAAAAAAATAATTTGTTGTATAAGTTTTATAATGCATGACACGAACTTACATGATGATAATTGTTAGCAATAATAAAGAATATATGAAAGAACACCAGTGTATTAAAAGATAACACACAGAGCATAGATAGAAGATAGCAAAAGATAATCGTTATAAAGATAATGATAAAGATTAAGGTTTTATTAAAGTTATGAATTGATATATAGTATAGGAGATTCGTGAAGATTGTTGACCTTTATCATTTATATCAAAGACTGATCTCAACTATAAAACCACTAAAAGAAAACCTAAAATTACTTTATAACTATTCCATCTCAACATTTAACTTCTTATCATGGCAGATACATGATCTCATTTGAGATGAGTCCAAACTGGTATGAACAAAACCAAATTAAGGTTTCCCATCAACTATTTACAATCAACTAACACTACAACATAGATCAAGCAATATTAAGTCATTTAAGACAATTACCGCATTACAAGTAATCGATAAAGTAAACACGCACAAACATTGTTCACTACTTAGTGATGAATTATATTTTTATATACAGGACCAAATTGTTAGAAGTCTTTCGACTGGTAATTTACTTCAAATAAATATCGATTTGTTGTATTACCAGTATACACAGATCATTTCAAAATGTTAACACAAAATCAATCATACTTAATTAACAATTATTAGCATTTTCCGATGATCGGACGAGAACCGGTACTTTCAATATGATATGATCGCCGGAAGCCGCTTATAGCTCTTTCAAAGTTATTGCCGGTTCCAAACCCGGGTACAAGAGGAGGGTTGGGCATGGGGTTAGTGACCCCATCCGGTAGAAAACTAACTCGCTAAAAAAACGCTAACCAGAAAAATTATCAGCTTGAATAAACCAAATAAAAAACGTGGAGGGAACAAAATGATCCTTTAAAATAGAAACAATAATCAAAGTATCAGTTATTCACTAGTGAATACTAAAAAACGAAATAACATCAATTTGGAATCATTAAATATAACGATACTACTAATAAGACTACTAGTATTGTAATCATATAAGCAAAATGTCAATTTTATAAAACCAATAAAAAACAATTACAAGTACAATTCTCTGTATACATTACGTTACTTAATCAATAAACTTCTAGTGAGGTTTCAAGGTATATCTCTTATTAAAATGAACAAACGAATTGATCAAGGTGGTTTTGTAATGTATGCTACTGATATCGATAGATATAAGTAGTGTGTATCATCAACCGAAAGCGAAATATCTGGTGATAGAAGACTAAGAAGATCAAAGAAAAGCGAATGAGAACAAAGAATTATTAGGTTTTAGATTGAGATCATGAAACGATTGATGTTAGACCACAATTGAAAACCTGGAAGTACTGAACGGCCATTTCGTCTTATTGTGGGACTCCTCAGCAGTGTGTATCCATGGTGGTCTAATATCAATCGGTTCATGATCTCAATCTTAAATTTAATAATCTCTACAACCCTTATATTGAAAAGAATTATTAGTGTGGAAATGGAAAAACAATAAAGTCTAAGACGAATGACTGATATTTGCAAAAGGAACAGTCAAGTTTGAAACAATTGATTGGCTTTTTGCAAATGAAGTATTTACTGTATGGATTTCAGATTTTCCTAAAAGATTCTGCAATTTTATGTTCAAATACACTCGATTGTACCCACTTGTGTTTTTGTTCATTATAGTTTCAGGTGAGTTAATTCATATATGTGAACTAACTCCATGAAGTCACTGACAAGTGGACTGAGTCATGTTGGTAGGTGTAGACTACCTGGTTGGGGACCGCGAGATGATAGCAACCGATGGTTAGAGACCTTGAATGACATGGCTCAAAATCGTTTGCAATGGCGCAGGTGCATCCACTCTTTGTTTTCTCTCAAACTCTAATCTTCTGAATTCTTCATGTCCTTTATTTTCTTTCCAAATATATTCCACTGGACTATACTCCTTTAATAACATCCTCAAACCTTAATATCCCCTATCTCTACTTATACTTTCAGTACCTCTACCACTATAAGATTTGAATCGATAACTGAATCTCTGTGCTAATGTGGTATGGCAACTCGAACTGATGTACGTACGTACGAAGTTCCACGTTGCTATTGACTGACTGACTGACTGAGTTCATATATGTGAAAAATCGGGAACTATTCTATAAAGATTTAGTGCATTTATCATTGCTATGTATCTACTAAATATATTCGGTTTAATTTATTCTTATCTCTCCCTAGTAGTAAGCATCCACGATCTGGCCCTCCGCGAGGTTGGAAAACAAGACTTATCAGTCTCGCGCAAGTGCTTAACCATTAGATCACTGAGCCGGCATCTAACGGTGTTAATGTCTAACTTCAACCAATCCACGATTATTATAATTGTTATTTATTATGATTCTTATTACTAAAATTTTTCAATAGTGTGCACTCATAATCTCGATGATGAAAAACTGTTGTTTTTGACTGATATATCAATCAAAAAAGAATTATATCCTCACTTATGATTAGTTTTTAGGTCATTTACGAAGAAGTGATAGGTAGCTGCAACCAAATCTGAAATGAAGCGATAACTCATAGATAGCGTTGTTAGATGATTTAATTACACCATGAAATGTGACAAATTATGGTGCTTGGTAAATTTTTCTCCATTATTAACATTGAATGTATGCAGGAATAAGGACAACTTCATTTTGAACTAATTAACAACAACATACGGACTAGATAGCAATATATCTGCCGTTAAAAGAAATGCAACTACTGAAAAGATATAAGTAGTATATTTTTGGTGAGAAAAAATTGTTCTGCAAGTTTATTCATCAAGAGGTAATTCAACAACGGAAGCATTAGGCTATCTTACATCATTTATTTCAAGAGCAAAGGGAGACTGTAAGTCGATGAACAGATGTTCTGACGTAATATGTAGTTTAAGGGAAAAACAACCAATCACTGAATATATCATAGTATTTCATTTTGAGAAGTATTAAGCAAGATAAAAATAGGTTTTACATACAGTTTAGCTGATTTCTGCCATGTATATTATGAAATCGATTCAGAAATGAAAATTGAATATTCTGTATGTTGTCATTACCAAAAATATTTAATGTACATTTGTGGCAGAAAATTAACAAAATATTCAACTTTGTTTTCATTACAACGTATCCAAATATGGAGTTAAAGGGATTGAAATTCCACAGCAGTAAATAAACCCCGCTTATTGTGATCAGTATGGATGGGAAATGTGTTGTGTAGCTACAGTTAGTCCCGAATTGAACTCTTTCAAGATATACTATTTACTAATAAATCAATAGTATATATTTTATCTAACAATTTTTAAGGGTCTCTGAAGTTGTCAGTGTTCACTGAATCATAACACTCATAATCCATAAAACACTAAATATTTCAAGATTTC